TTGATTAATTTGCATACTTTCGTTAAGCTTGCCTATGGAACGATACCGTTGAATACAACCAACTACCGCTTGCCGAAAACCGACCGTTCTATATTAAATTTTGTGTTAATACGTAAATAACTCATCAACTTGCGGAATAAACAATTTATTAGCAGTGACGAGGCCGCGCTCGAACAACTAAGTAAATTGTTATTATTATTGATTCTGATTAGCTGAAATGGAGTGCGCCGCGACCTTAGTCGTAAGCGGATTCGGCACGAATTTAGTTTTTACGGGTCGTGTCTTATTGAATTCATCATTCAATCTCTATTTTTCTGAAATCCATATTGAAATACAGGTAACCGACCCCCTATAACACGGTATTTTACAACACGGTTCAACTTTAAGCTTCCCAACTCTCTTATAGCACGACACTTCTACAACACTATAAAGAGACTTTTGTTACAAATGATTTGAAAAAGTGATAGATGTCTATAGGCTCCAGTAACCACTTAACACCAGGTGGGCTGTGAGCTCGTCCACCAACCTAAGCAATAAAAAAATAAAATAAAGATCGATGCACTAGAAATCCTGGAGAAGGATGCTCCGTATATCTTGGACCGAGCATCGCACCAACGCCTCCTAAAGGAATTCAACATCTCTCAAAGGTCGTCGTCAACAGTGCAGTTCAAAATTCTCCGATATTTATCATTTTGACACGTATCGCGACGGCTCGCAGTCTATCGAGAAACTTGTTGTTCAGGGTAGGGTCGGTAACAACAGTGATTTCGGGAGGGCGACCCCTTTTGAAGAGCAGGGCAGTGCTTTTCGTTGGGTTGAGTTTGATGCGCTGTTTCCGAAATCACTATCCTAAATTGGTAAATTAAGCCATTGTGCCAGACTATGTCGAGCGCCTTTGCGATAAGAACGAAGAGGGCTCCGATGGGGACGGGTCTGCGTCTATTTAGCCCTACTAAGGTGTGCTCCGTGAGGCGGTGCACATGCTGAATGCACGAGTCTTTCGCGCGGAATCCGAACTGTTCGTCGATCAGGATGCCTTCCGAGGTGATGAAGTCCCAGAGGTGTTTCTGTAATAGCCGTTCGTATAATTTGCCTAACGCTGGGAGGAGGCTGATTGGGCGGTGTGGTTATCTAGGTAACTATTAAAACCGGAACGCACGAGGTTCAAAGATTATATTTCAAATATTATTTTGTATATATTATATAATCAAATCTATCATCAATATATCAATATCAAACATCATACATCAAATCAAATAAACAATCGGATAGTAATAGAACTCTAAATAATACAAATACAGTTCGATAGAGGCAGCTAATGTATATGTATAGTATAGGTAGGTATACAATACAATATCGACGGGAGAAAGCGGAAATGTCGTAACTTGAATTTTGGGCTAAATCTCTTTTTAACATATTATATTTAGGGTTCTCGTGTAAAGTTAGGTTTTTCACGTTACGACAATTCCGCTTTCTCCGTCGATATGTACTACTATAGCAAGCACCGCAGACGATTTTCTGTTCGTAAACTTAAAAACTTGACATTTTATCAAATTGCCACCTGCCGGATCCAATTAGAAAACAAAACTTTAGAGGGAACCGCTCAAACACAAAAAAACGGTCCAGTCCCCTCTACGGTGTTTGCCACTGCGTTCATCCACACTGCGTTTCCAGAGATATTTTTTGCTACGTACCGGCTTTAGAACGAGCCAGGGTGTTTCCCGAGCGCTATGACATGTCCATCTTCAAACGAGGCTTCTGGAGAGTACTTAATGGTAGGCAGAGGCTTGGCTCTGCCCCTGGCATTGCTGAAGACCCTGAACCACTCACCATCATATAGGCCGTATGCTCGTGTGCCTAGAAGGGAAATAAAATAAAAAGCCGCCTAGGAGTTGAAAGGCAAAGATATATTTGTAAATGCGAACGAGACCACCCGTTCGCCATTTGCAGTATGACAAAAGTGACTCACGTAAAATGAGAATCCCACTTCCATTTAAACTTAGAAACTTTGTCCATCCAAACGTCCGAAACGAAATAGAAACATTGTTCTTTACAAAACTGAGTTCTATGAAATTCGTCGACTTTTTTAATTTGAAGTTGCGAAGTCGAGTGTCAGTGACGGCCGCTTTTTCGGCACAATAAAGAAAACATAAACGGACTCTGAATCGGCGAGTGGCCCAGGTATTCAATGCACGATTTTCATGGAAAGTCTGCCTATGACAGATGGAGTTGGACTGTAAAATATAAGTATATTTTTTTTTAATCTGCTGTTGTTTGGGAATCCCTGTGTTTCTTTGTGACCCGTAGTTAGATATTCGAGCTGAAAAACCCACTGTTTATGTTTTGGGTGGTTATACAAGTCCATCAAGGTTAATATCACGCCGTACCTAACATTTCTACTACCAGTCAAATTTCTGTACTACGGTATAAAACGTATATGACTAAATTATCTAAGGGGTAAGAAATAATTAAACATACCTACATATAACTCTTTAACGGTTTGTATTATATTGTAAAATATTCAGAACGGAATTCGAAAATAAAATAAAGTGTGAAATTAATTATATTAGTTTAAGTAATAATAATGATGTCTACGCGCGAAAACCGAAAACATTACAAGAAAACAAAATTTACAAAACTATTTGCTACTATCACGTCGCAATTACGTGTGTTATCTATATACCTACAGTCGACTCTCGTTAATTCCAACCTGCGATAATTAGAACCTCTCTATAATTTAAAGTTATCACGAGTTCCCTACAAAATCTCTTTATATTTCGAACTAAATCAATACATTTTTATGCACTTGGTAATTCGAACGAAAAATCATTGCTATATAATAAAACGACGCGTTAATTCGAACTCATCGGCGTCCAACACTGGACAATTCAAAGTTGCAGAGAGAAAGAGGTCGAATGATTGTAATGTAAGTACATTTTGCGACAACTTCAAACTTGTATCAACCATAGACCTATAGGTTTCCTACTACAGCGGTATCAACATACACGAGCCTTTGTTATTGTTATGATTAGTTAAACTCACACTTCCCCACGAATTGGTTTGTTTAGTTATGTTTCAGTTACGGTTAGTCTTTCGTTGGTATGCAGATTAAAAGTTTGTGTTAATTATGAGTCCTAGAAAGTATAAATGTTTGACGATTGCTGAAAAGAAGAAGTTAATCGAAAAAGTAGAGGAAGGTGAGAAGAAAAGTGATGTTGCAAAAGAATTTAAGATTCCTCTGAGTACTCTCTCAACCATAATAAAGCACAAGGAGAAAATTAATTCTGCTCAAACTGCTGGAGTACGGAAAAGAACTACTATTCATTGTTATAGAATAGCAGTTAATAAATAATTATTGATCAATACTTAGTAATTCGAAGTTTTATTTATTTTCTCTCACAAATTTCGAACCATTTGATATTTCAAACATTCGATAATTCGTAATATTTTATGAGTCCCTCAAGTTTCGAATTCACGAGAGTCGACTGTATATAAAAATGAATTACTGTTCGTTAGTCTCGCTAAAACTCACTGAAGTTACTATATAGGTCTATGCTAAAACTCGAGAACGGCTGGACCGCTTTGGCTAATGTAAAGGTTTAAAAGGTAGATAAATATAAAAATGCTCGGTATTAAATAAAAATAACAATTTTGTTTTTCCTCTGTGTCCCCCGTCGGACGGATTCATTTTGTTTGTTTTAAGTTTATTTTATATAAAAGCTTAGGTATTTTATTTATCGATTGAGACATTACGAAGTCTGCCGGGTCAGCTAGTAATAAATATAAATATACCTATTATATTAATAATTCATTGCACATTTTCTGTTCTGAACTTCTAATGCTGCAACTTTATCCATTATTTAACTTTACGAGACTGGTTAAGTGTTTGGTTGATAAATAGATCATGCAATATTGTAATATTACCTAGTTAAAGCGAAGTTTACAGAGAAAATGCAGACTGGTTTTAGTTGTAGTTTTGTGGATGTTTTTAGTGCCTGCCTCTATGCTAGATAAATTAATATCTTTGCTGTTCTACCCGATGATATGCAGGCGAAGTAAAATGTCCCTTAGAAATAAGGTGACACTCTACAAAACTTGCATACGCCCCGTCATGACCTATGCAAGTGTAGTGTTCGCTCACGCGGCCCGCACTCTCTTAAAATCCTTTCAAATTATTTAATCCCGTTTTTGCAGGATAGCCGTCGGAGCCCCGTGGTTCGTCAGGAACGTCGACCTCCATGACGACCTGGACTTAGAGTCCATCAGTAAGTATCTTCAGTCGGCGTCGATGCGCCACTTCGATAAAGCGGCACGACACGAGAACCCTCTCATCGTGGCCGCCAGTAACTACATTCCCGATCCTGCGGACAGAATGGAAAGCAGTCGACGTCGCCCAAAACACGTCATCTCGGATCGTCCCGATCCACTAACGGTGCTTTTAGGTACTTCAAGCACCGGTCACCGTTCTCGTCGAACCCGTCGAAGGGCTCGACGAGTAAATTAACTCCCAGACACAGCCCACTGAGTTTCTCGCCGTATCTTCTCAGTGGGTCGCGTTTCCGATCCGGTGGTAGATTCTGCGAAGCACGGCTCTTGCTAGGGTTCGTGTTAGCAACGTCATCAGGTTTGAGCCCTCAAGGCTACCATCATAGGTAGGAAAAAAAAAAAAAAAAAACTGCGCTGTATCTTTTTTGAGAAAATAGTTTTTTTCAATGCCAGCTCATTAACAGGGCACGTAAATATCAAAAACGCAAATGCTGCCACACACCTAAACAAAAGTTCTAAGTCTGAAGTCTGATATTAGGAGACCTCGGGGCTGATGATGATATTGATTGTTGCATCATTTGATTTGACTACAGCATTATATTCTTTAGGCCACTATGACTGCTCTTTCACCCATCAGGGATAGTAAAAAAAATGGACACACACTTGCTTTATTAGGAGGTGCAAATCTAATCAAGTCAAATCACTAAGCTTATGGTAAAAATAATCTTCTCATAAAATTTATTTCCATACAGACATCAAACATTATTTTTCACAATATTATTTAAAACATAAAATGGTCAAAAATTCACTATTGATAAAATAAATTCACATTATTTGTTTCAGAATACCCTGTCGTATTAAAGTCTGACATTCCGAAGTAGGAAGATAATGTCTGCTATTCTTCTTAAGCATAACCACATCACCATCTTCAAGTTCTAATTTACCATAATCCACAACACAAAGCACTTCGATGAACAATGATTTAGGGGGCTTTAAATTTTCAGTCAAGTCTATGCCACTGTATCCTATATCTTGGCCTAAAGATCTCATATACAAAGCAAGATTTCCAGAGTATTTTGAAAACCATTGATATTCATCATCAGAAAGCAATTCTCTGATATCTGGAGGTAGTACTGCACCAAATTCCCAACGTAATGTCTTAATTTTTTTCATTCTGTTGTAGAGATAGGCTAATATACACCTTTTATTGCGTTCAAGGGCAGAATGTCTTACTTGAACTGTGGTCCACAATGATCTGTTTTCTGTTGTAGCATTACTAAAAATAGTAATTCAATTAATACAAGCGGTAATCATAAAACAGTTTGTTGTTATCTTCTTCTTCTATAAATGAACTTGATGAGCAATTGAACTACATATTTTTGAAATTTAAATTAAAATGGACTAATAGCAGGTAACCTTATTACAACACCACATGAGACTCAAGTGCATGAAAATATTAACCCCTTTGCACTAAATGACGTTTTCGTTTGTGCGGACCAGCAACTCAGACCGATTTTGGCCAAATTAGAGAAACATTTTAAAAGTACTTTAAGATCAACAAACAAACACACATTTCTCTATTTTTTTTATATACCAAAAACAATAATTAGTACTATTATTAAAAAACAACTACACTGTAAAAAAACTCAATAAGCTGAGCTAAGATTTGGTTAGAAATTGAAGCCAAGCCTGTCCACTAAAGTATTTTTAAGCAGATACATAACCGTAGTGCTGTAACAAATCTGCTGGGTGAGATATCTGTGCTACTCAAGCACAACCAGTAAAGCTATCAAATCTGCTGGGCAAGTTATCCAAACTGCTTGAATGTGAAGAGTTATAAAACAAAAAAGTCATAAAACTTTTTTTTGCATAATTGGGTGAGAGATCTCAGGGCTACCTCAAATCCCATGAAGCTAGCATAACCCCTCGAGGTTAGTAGCAATAGATTGACAAAAAAAAACAAAAATAGACCTTCCTGGAGTTACAAGGTTACCTGAGCACTTTTGCATCACATGAAACAGAATAGGAGGTTACAGAATAGAAGTGATCATAGCAAATCTTGCATATTGAACAATAACTACTTGCAGTTATATTAGTAGAAAACCAGTGACTTACGCATCATTCATGTTCAATTTAAATAATAAATGCATTTCTTCTATTATTTGGCGTATTTTTTCATCCTGTAACATGTGAAATACTATGTACTTTATAAGATTAAAAGACACAAAAATAATAATAGGCGGTGCTATAACAATAATTTAATATACTTGTCACTTCTAAATGGATTTCTGACTTTATAGTGCATATGCATAGACAAACAGAATAGATGACAACCGGATAAAATCTTGGTTTCGGTATTAAATAGTAACTTAAAGCTTTCATTAGATATAACAAGTTTATTCTAATTCCAATCCCATACCTAGATGGGCACATCCAACTTACATTATATTGATCTATTGTGTCAGGATTTCTATCTACTTCTTTAATTAGTTCTATAACTTTTTCTGCGAACATTGTGTGTTACTTATTTACTTAACAATGAGAGAGATAACAAACAAAATACTTTAATAATTTAGATAAAAACATTTTTGGCATTGGCGCGAAAGTTGTTATTAATTTGATGAGTGACAGCTCAAGACTGTGACAGATAGTAAATTTGACATTTTATGATCGGATACGCATCATTTTTGGATGAGTTCGAAAATCACAGAAGCCTTGATCTTTAAATCTATAATACCAAAACCTAATCTTAAGATATTAAAATTTTCTAGAAGTGGGAGCTAAGTCATACAAGTAACTTTTTACAGATAATCACTTAGTAGCAATACAGCCAATAATAATCTCACTCTCCTTATCGGGTCGACCATCAGATCCAATTACTCTTGCAAAGACGCTTTCAACTTTAACATTAGGAGCAGACTTAGGGACCCTGATAACCGTACTCGTCGAACTCAACAAAGTGTTCGACGTGCAAACTAACCTCCCGGTGCCACCTCTGGGACATGATGATTTCATCATTCCCGCTGAATTGCGCCTCCTTATCAAGCGGATAAAGAGGCGCAAGGCATTGTGTGAGGACGGTATTCTCACCCTTGCATTTTTCCACTTTCTAGAATCAGTCGTGTCTTTTAAGACACGGCTGTTTAATTACATTCTGTCTACAGGATATTTCCCGGGAATTTAGAAGGACAGAAGACAGCCCTCCAATTATCGTCCGATTACCCTGTTGTCGTATGTGGGCAAGTTGTTCGAGCGGCTGCTGGTGAGAAGAGTGTCTCCGCACATCCTTCTCAGACCCGAGCAATTCTGGATACGTAGCAGTCACTCAACAACGCTGCAATTGGTCTGCGTTATGCACCTTTTGACGGTCCAACGCACGCCAGTACATGGCGGCAGTATTTCTCGATTTCGAGAAGGCCTTCAACCGTGTCTGGCGTGCGGGGCTTATCTGCAAGTTGGTGCAGAACACGGACTTCCAGCACGCCTACGTGCGACTACTGGGGTCGTACCTGGAGGGCAGAACTCTTTTTGTCGCGGTCAAGAGCGCTAAATCGTGGATGCGCCCAGCCACAGCTGGGGTTCCCCAAGGAGGTATCCTGTCACCGATCCTCTACGCTCTCTACACCAACGACATTCCCAATGTCGTTACGTTGTGTTAACACACAGAAATAATAAGCAGTAACATATCTATGACGGCGTTAACGTTACTTCTGTTATACAGCACGTGCAATAGGAGTGAGTCATACACAAGCCAGGTGCGCCGGCCGTGTCACTCCACTCGTAAAACAGCACGTGCAACAGGAGTGACTCATAGATAAGCCAGGTGCCCCGGCCGACTGCGTTTGCTCGGTGCACTTACTATATCCTTGTTACATTGTGTGATTAAGTGACTGTTTTACGTACTGGTTAAGGTTGGATAAATGTTAAAGTGAATTAAGTTATCATATTGTTGATTAAATCAGGAATCAAAAAGTGACTTCGTTTTACTGGGTGTTCAACAAGATAATATCCCCCGCCCTAACCCCCCCCCCCCCTCCCCCTCCCACATAATACGCAATGGAATTGTTCAATGAGTAACGTATGTTCGTCTGCTTTTTGTGGCCACAATACCAAACAATTACAACTTCTAGTTTTGTTGATCCGAAGAGTCGATAATTGTAAAATGAAAGAATAAACACCAAATGGAAATTTTAAGTTCTTTCTATTGGGTCCACAGCTGTCTATAAAGTTTACTTATGGACGAGAGTTTTACGTGATAACGTCGTAAAGACTCCGTATGCTTTACCACCTGAAGTATTTCCTTCCGCCCGAGACCAAGACAATACTCGTTCAAACTTTGGTTTTCCCCTTGATCGACTATGGTGATGTGTGCTACTTTGACCTGAATGCATAATATCTACTCAATAAACTTAACCGGCTTCTCAATAACTGCATTCGATTTATTTATGATCTTCGGAAATACGATCACGTATCTTCTCATCGCTCCCAACTTAAATGGCTCCCCATTCGACAACGCCGTAGCTTGCGTGCTCTCGGTACTCTTTACTCTTTGTTGCATTCCCCAAATCCACCTGCTTATTTAACTACTTCCTTTCAATACTTAGGGTCTGACCACAGCCGAAATCTTCGTTCATCTCACAATGTTCTTCTTCGCTGTCCTCCATATAGTTCTGACTCGGTTCTCTAAGGTCGGCCACTACACGTGAAGCGTTTAAGATGAGGGTTCGAGAACTGTTTCTAGAGAGTTATCAGAGTCATCTAATTGATAATATTTATTTATATATATTTTATACATATATATTTATGTAAATGTATTTATTTAAGTACGAGTTTTTGTATCTATAAATATTATGTATGTTATATATACACATATGTTTAAGTAATATCACTATCACACTACACCTATCAAGGTTCATCTCTGCACCCCCCTAAGGTAGACTCTCAGAGAATTTTTCGGAGCATCTGGGTCTACGGAGGGACTTCGGTTCCCTCTGTATTTTGTACCGTATGTTCCATGGGGAGTGCTCTGAGGAATTGTTCGAGATGATACCGGCATCTCGTTTTTACCATCGCACCACCCGCCACCGGAGTAGAGTTCATACATACTACCTGGAGCCACTGCAGTCATCCACAGTGCGTTTCCAGAGGTCTTTTTTGCCACGTACCATCCGCCTATGGAATGAGCTTCCCTTCACGGTGTTTCCCGAGCGCTATGAGATGTCCTTCTTCAAACTAGGCTTGTGGAGAGTATTAAGCGGTAGGCAGCGGCTTGGCTCTGCCCCTGGCATTGCTGAAGTCCATGGGTGACGGTAACCACTCACCATCAGGTGGGCTGTGAGCTCGTCCATCCATCTAAGCAATAAAAAAAAAAAAAAAAAACGTGGATGTTTTAGTTTATTTTTATCGAAATCACAGTTTTGTTATATTGTTTTACTTCACGAACCAACAGATATTTTTTTACTAGTCAAGACACCTATTGTCACTGTCTATGTCTATGTTTACTTTGTTTTTGCTAAGGATATCTATCAACTCAAACAAAATATTTTAGATTAAATCATCACGCAGTGATGTAGATTGTAGACAATTTACATGACACAGTGTTTCCGAACATGTCTCTAGAAAGTGACGTAATGACGAATGCTAATAAAAACAAAAAATGGCAGCCTTATGTAGTCACAAATACTCCAGCATTGAATCTTAATCACGCATTGTGCACGCGCATTCGTTGTAGTGAGGCTGTTTATTACGCGACATTTTTGTGTCAAAACATGGTTCCGTGTTCATAAACAATTGTAATATAAACAATAGTGAAACGATAAGATTATTGTTAAAATTGAAAACGGTCGTATAGAATTGAACCAAAAATGAGTGCCAAAAAAGATTCCGAAACGAAATTGCGCGAGGACGAGTACGCTGATTCCGGTTTTGTTACTGGTGAAATATCAGGACCGTGTGATAGTAATGATATCGATTCAGGGATGATCGATTATGATGAAAAGAATAGTGAAGGTGAAAGTGGAGTGAAATCCATTACGGATAGGCTGTCACAAGTAATGGTTAGTGTTCAGAGTCCTGCACAGAGTACCGCAGACATTCCTCCGCTGTATCTACTGTTCCAACAGGACGAGGACGGAGACACGTATGTATAAATCATTATACTCCACGCACTCTTACAACAACAACAAAAATTCTTCATTTTGGCTTTTTGGGGTCTGTGCATGAAATTTTTCCCTATAATTTTAAACAACATTGTTAACTTGATTTGACACTACTACTATTATTAAATACTTTTTCGAGAAACACTCCTTGCTTACCTTTTAGTTTAATGATAGATTTTTAAATATATTTTGAGATTTATCAAATTACTTTTTTGTTGTTGTTAAAGTCAATTAATTACCTACGAAGGGCATATTTAAAAAAAAAACATTGTTAATGTGGAAATTTTATCAAATTATACTTGTGCAAGAACCTCAGCTCACCAAGAAAATTAATATGACAATCTTACCCAGCCAATACAGTTTGTAATAAGTCAACAGACCTAAACTACAATATGTATTCTTATTAAAACCATGATGAAACTTGAACTATAACAAAAGAAATTCCCTGTGTTCAGTGAAATAAATGAGAGAAATAGCAACTTTACGTTTAAGGTGCTTACTATATCCTTTCATTCGTCTATTTTAATAAATCTATTTTGAATTAACATGCAGTTAAATAAAACCAATTTTTATCATGTTTCTTTATTAAGCTTTAAACTTTTTGCTAAAGCGTTAATTCTCGTAGTTTAGCATTTTATAAAGCATATTAAAATATATTGATATAAAGTTGCTAGTTCAATTATATTTTAACAGGGTACAATAACATAAACTTCATTTAAAAAAATGTTTATCAGTACAGTAACAAAAATGAACTTAAAGCGTTGTAGCCTAATACGGTAATATGCACATGATATGTTGTAAATTCTGTAATGAATAAATTGCATGCACTGCCCGCCATTGCAGTAGCCTTTGTCCACTCTGTGTAGAACCACTGTGTTTATCCACAGTGCATTTCCGGAGATATTTTCTGGCATGTACCATCTGGCTTTGTAATTAACTCCTCTCTTTGATGTTTCTCAAATGCCTTATAATGTTGGAAGGTTGGTTGACAAGATTTATAGAAAATACTCAGGGGCAGGAAGCAATTTGGCTCTGCCCCTGGCATTACTGATGTGAATTAGCAATGGTAACCACTCACCATCAGGTGGGCCATATGCTTTGATATCTTTGTTTTCAGTGAAACTATAGACTAAATATACATAAACTAAATATTCACTACTATGTTTTAGTAAATATAGCAGTGAAAAAGACTTGATATTCTTCCAATATTTAAATTAACAAGGAAATCATTTATACATTTTACAACTTCCTTTGCGCGGATTTGTTTTTTTGAATAAAGACGATCAAAGTGAGCAAATTTAATTGCTTGAAAAACATATTGATTGGATTGATAATACAATTAGTAATCATGATCAAGTATATAATAATATACTTATGAGTGCAAATGTAACTGTTTCAGCCTTCTTTGAATATAAATAACTAGGGACTATTTTTAAATATTTGAATTA